CTCTTCTCGGGATGTGTCTCGGACTTGTCTTCAAAGATGTCCGAGAACGGGTCCTGGACATGTCCGGGATGATGACCTCCTGGACCACCGGCTGTGATATCCATCGACGGGCAGCTGGGATGGAGATAAAGGCGTGCTACGAGGAACCGGGCGAGATGTCCCAGCTTTCTTTTTTATTTCTTAACAAATAACGCCCGGTGATAACGCCTTCTTAGGACGATTAACGGTCCCGAGATGCAAGAAGAGATTGGGACGCTGGAGTGGTACAGGGTGTAAATGGTGACACTGAAATAGGCATACTTCAGGAGTGGACATTTCTCAAGATAATTTCAGGACGAAAGCAAGTTCTGCAAATGATCGACTATTTTTCCTTTGACAATTTTACAGTTAGAATCAATTACGCGGTGCATTAAACTTCCGTAATTTTTCTTAAACGTTCCGTTATTACAGGCCCTTCAAAATTACGTACTACGTGAACATATTCTCATCCTAGTGTTTCATCAATTTTTCAAGAGTCAAACACCGTACGGCGTATTATTTATTTTATAATTTTACGGAATATATATTGCTCGTCAAAAAAAACATCGCATGACCTAAGAATAAAAATCGTGCAAATCGGAGGCTGGCATGTATCGTTTAGGATAATCTAAAAAGACAGTGACTTCATTTTAATGTAAACAAATATTTGTCATTACCGCGATATAAGTCATAGTTTCCTTTCATTATTCTACACGATGTACATGGTTATCAGATGTGCGCAACTTTGATTTTAAAATGCTGCAGTTCATTTGGTAAGTAGGGTATTAATTCGTCGAAGAACATGCATAACCGCCACTAGTTAAATTATACAATTAATACAGAGGACTGTACTGCACTTGCCTTAATTGCAGTAAAATAAGAGAATGCGTTAACTCTCCGAATTAACACTTGGGATAAAATCTGTTGTAAATATAAATTCCCAGCGTTTCATTACATTTGCATGTAGTAACGCAGGTAATCTAGAATAATTTACTGTAGAGCATCGTTGTCCACGATAAAGCACCCTTCATCGTTAAGGAAGTCACGATAAAGAATCAAAGAACGTCAAATTACTCAGGCTGTGTCACGGTCCTTCGATCGCGACGTCAAGGAGGAATGATCCAATTATCCCGGAGACAATGAAAGTTTATTCACGGAGTGAAGAACTGCCTGAAAAACGAGGCGGCCTTCCCTTCGCGAGATTCAATTTGGTTCTGTGTCAGCGGCGATCCGGGCCGGGGCAAGCGAAGAACTTTTACGGAAGCCATTTGCCGTCCTTTATTTTCTAATTACTGTCACGAGCAGGGACTGTTCTTCTCCGTGCAATTCGACGAAACAGCCGTTTCTGCATTACAACTTTGTCAGGTCGAGACTCATTGACTTCCCTATTGCTAAACCGTTTCGTTTTATCGTTACCGGCGCTTTTACGGAATTTCCTGAGAAAGCCACGGGAGAAAAGTAGAGGAACGTACGTCGCGCGAAACGGGGGAAATTAAAAACGAAGGGAAGTACACGCGAGTACATGAGTGCATTATTTATGTAATACAAGTGGGAAAAAATAACCGAGCAATCGCTGCTGGCCGCGAATTATTGCTCACGGCCATGTTACGTGACCATTATGTCTCGTGGTCATGGCGATAAATCCCGGGACTAACGAACGACCTGTCCGGCGAAATATGAAATACCTTGACCGTCAAATTAATTGCCCTGCCTAGTATTTTTTCATAGTTGAATTCCTTCGGCAAATGCGAGATTTCCTTTCTATGTTTTTTTTTTTACTTTTACATTTTTATATACACAGAGTGGAGAAAAGTTCTTACAATCCTTCAAATGTAGGATACATTTGTCCGGCTTTCATTTCATGTATCGCTGTTTGGGGTTTTAGTAAACATTAGCATTTAGCATTTAATAGCACTGAATGACTCTTGCATATTACCTTGGGTGCCCGGATCATTTAAAACTTCATCACGAGATTATGGAGGCTCTAAAGAAGAATGCGATGCTCGTGAAATTTAATTTTTCGAAAAAATGTATTTATTTCGGACAAGAATCGAAGAAAAACATTTTTGTTTGAAAAATGAAATTTCGCGAACATCGCGTTCTTCCTTAGAGCCTTCATAATCACGCGTTAAAGTTTCAGATAATTCGGTGCACCCAGTTTGAAGAAAAATTTTACAAACATTTTCACGTTTTGATACATATAGAATGATTACCTCAAGGTGATATGAAAGAGTCAACCTATATATATATAGTCGATATATATATATATATATATAAATCGGCTGAATATATACATATATATATCTGAGAGGTCCAATCGTTAGGGAAAGTATTCTCCGAATTGGGAGTACCGATTCGTTTCAAATTTTACCACGGGAATATGGAGGCCCTAAAGTAGGTGCTGAAACTCATGAAATTTCATTATTCTTAAAAAATGTATTTATTTATAATGGACTAAAACCAACATGATATGGTCCGGGCACGTTTTCGATATTTTACCCTTCTTGGAGGCTTGGAATCGAAAATGAAAAGTTTCAGGACCTAGCTCGAACAATTTAGAATACCGTAGAAATGGAATTTTACAGAGTCAGATGGGAAAATGCGGTAAATACTTTCACCAGCGATTGCAAGAGAATGCTGGCTTGTCCTGCTGCTAACGCGTGTTTTTAAAACATAAATTTAGTTGCAGTTAAACGTCACAAATGGCGACGGTTGTTCTAAACAACCGTTAGAATTATGAACTCACGGGATCTCGACAACTTTACGTCGACCTCAACATCGTTACTTTACTAAAATGACACATGGAACGCTTCAATTCGTCCAATTCTCAACGTAGACTGTAAAAGACTTCAAGATAAATATAAATGTCGGTAACGGGACGTGCCAGTTTATGTTACCACTTGAGTATTCAGAATGACGTTACCACCAAGAAAGGTATAGCTGAATTTTAATTTATCGACCTCGATTAAATTTCTCAGCGCCTTTCATATCACCTTAAATATCGTAACATTTCCAATAGGGCACAACTGTTGAATTTCGTTATTCCCCGCCCTTTCCTACCTTCCAAATTTCTGCAGACGTTAGTCAAAGTCACATTTACGGCGGAACATCATCACAGTATTGGGACCGTGTAGCCATCCGATTCCACCGTCCATTACCCGGGAGATTACCCAATTATTCCAGAGACCCACCCCGTGGCAATAAAATCAGTCCCTCGGTAATGCGGAGGATCTCTTGCGCAAGGAGCGAATCGCAATTTGCCGATCGGCAACGAGATCGGGAGTTCCCCAGGTCGGGACTGCAAGTGCATCGATATATTGCAGGAGTAACCGCGACTCCACCCCCTCGAGGGCTCCCCGAGAATAGCGATAACAAAATAAGAAAGCGAATCCCGCGAGTGAAATATCACCAGAAACGATAGGGGGCTTTTTTTCCTGGTGAGGATTACCGACGAGGAAGACACGCGAGCCGGGCCGGATTTTAAATACCGTCCCGCCTTTCATCTGGCAGGTTTCCTCGGGGTAATTGCGACTTCGCCGGCCCTGGATATAAGAGTTATGTCGAAAACAAAGAGACCCACCCGGGGGCACTTGTAACTTGACGCACGTTGCGCGCGTAAGTGAATCCCGGCTGCAGGCTTCGGTGCACCACTATGTCACGCACAAAACGCGCCGGCGGGTGCGCACGACGGGAATACTCCAACTTCTGCTGGTACCGAAAGCGCCTCGCCTCCGATTAGCATATTCAAATCCACCTGGCGAAATTCCTCGTTCCGCGGCAACAACGGCAGAACGAAGGGACTGGGCTTCCCCTTGCACTCGCGGGACCTTTTCATCGGATTCGCTCGCAGCGTTCTTTGAGGTCGGATGGTTCACCTGCTGGCTGTTTGCGTAGCTGGCGAGCTGGACAATGGGAAAATTGAGAGATGTGCTCTGCTTTACTCCGGCACCAGGCTGGACAAATTGTCAGAATCGCTGCCGAGTATTTATTTCCCAATGGGGCTGGAAGTCGTTTACCGAGGTTAAGGTGATGCAAAATTGGCGTCAGAGTTTTCGTTCATGAAACTTTTCTACGAAGTGGGGATACCGAATCGATTTAAACTTTACGATATAAATGTGGAGGCTATAAGGAAGGTCCGAAAACTCACAAAATTTTAATTTTTAGTTTAGATTTATTTATAGGCATTTTTAAAATTTTTTTAGACAAAGTGACATTTCACGGATGTCCGAACCTCCCATATAGTCTCTACGTTCACGTTGTAAAGTTTGAAACGATTCGGCACGAGTTTGGAGAAAGGTTTCGTGAAGATTGACTTTTTAGATGCCACTTTCACATCCCTTTAACGACGGAACCTTAACGACGGAAACCGAGGTCGGGTTAAGGCTTATATGGGTGGCTGCATCGTTACACATATTCGTTAGTTTCGTGCAAGTAAATGTACAAATGTTAGTCATGTTCGTATTAAAGAATTTTGAGTTTTAACCTTTTATTGGACATTTTTAAGCCAGGTGTTTCAACTTAAAAAACGTGTCAGTAAACGTGCGTACAAAGGTGTTATACTTTCGATATCTAAACAAGTGTTTCAATACATGTTTCATAAATACGTTAGGTTGTCCAGAAAATTCATTTGAAACATATGATTAGAGAAATGTAGAGCAAAGTTTGCGCTTTAAAATGATATATGACGTAGACATAAAGGGAAAATGGTTTTATTTGAAAACGAAGCGTCAAATTTTAAACGACAGAAACTGCAATAATTTTGTGGCCAATCCTGTGATAATTTTTGTTCACAGGGTGAAAACTTGTATTTAAGTGTCCACTCTTGTATTGGTTCTTTTACAGAATGTAAAACTTTCAGGACGTGTTTTTGAAAATGTTGGAAATCCAAGGGAGATCCTTGAGAATCCCTCGTACTACAAGTATTGTTTGTAATTTCTTAGTTTCATAGTATAGCGTTAATATTGCGTGTACGTTTGTTTCAGATGGCCAGCATCGAGGTATCGTTATCGACGACACCGAGGCGGAAAAAAGGTGGAAGCGTCTCGGGGGTGACATCCCCCGCGGGTCATCGAGCCCGGGACCACTGCAAAGAGCTAGATGCACTTCGGGTTGCACTCCGCGACAAGGAGAACATCATCCAGACGTAGGTTTCATCTCGAAAATTCCGAGAAAAATATTACCTTGAAAGAAATTCAATTATCAAAATCTGTAAACACGATTATCTTCATCTTGCACCGAGATTCAAGCGTCCCTTCATTGATTTTCTGTAAATCACTCGATATTTCGAACAGTATAGTGCTGCATTCGAAACGAAAACCGGACAAATGTATACTACACTTTGAAGAACGCCATTTCTACGTGAGAATTCGTACAAAAGTATTCCAGATTTTGAACAAAATGTTAAAATGGAAAAAAAATCAGTGCGAGTGACGATAAATGTCCTGCAATACACTTTTCACAAAATGCATAGAATCGTGTATGCGTAAGTGATCGATAATCAGTTTACAAAAGCGTCCGAATTTTCATATACGTGTCTTGTGACAAGTCATACACCTATGTGTGCATTCATGCACAGTTGTCTCCGAATTCTCACAGACGTGATCGAAAATTAGTATACAAAAGATTTCGAATTTCAGTATCTATACATGCCTTCTGAAATTCCTACACTTGAACACTAAAGTCTCGAGCAAAGTCTTATACGTTTCCAAACATCTTGCAGATCATATCTTAACAAAACTTCGACCACGCGTATGCTACCCTCCGAGCCGATGTTTTTAACGGTGCAATTTCCAAGTTTGTTCGAAGATCCCCGGAGTGTTGAAAAAAACAAAATCCAAAGCGCACCTCCGATTATCGTCCGATCCATTACCTCCCGGTTCCGAATCTCGATTGACCTCCTTTCGGAGCATCATCCCGGCATAAATCACCAGACACTTTTTCTCGCATGAGCAGCCTCGACCCTGTACTTAGTCGATTCAATGAAGCACATTTATCGAAGCCGGAGTATGGTCATTATCGATAGGATATCAGATCCGAAATTAATACGGGCCCTTAGGCTGGGTGCCGTGTTTGGCTGCTATCGCGGCTCGCTGTCCGACCGTTGTCAAGGATCGAGATTAAATGCCATTTTGACAGGTTGAAGGGCCAGCTGTGCAATACTCTGAGCAACCGGTTGGCGCTACGCAACGGAGTGCCTCCTCTAACGGATGCTGACAGGAAGGCAACCGAGGAACGCCTGCAGAGGCTGCGCCGCGACGCCGACAATAAAAGGCTGGCCATTAAGAACCTCAAACTGGCGCTCGAGCGTCTCGACATTACCGAGTAAGTCGAAACGAAAGGGGAAATCTACCCAGGGGGAACCCCCTGCAGTTTAGGGGGTCTATAAAGGGACCGTTCACCGTGTGAGTTGCCGAGGGAGGTGCTTGCGTGTTATTTTTCAAGCTAAGAAAAGGGATTTTTCTGAGAATATTACGAGTAGCTGCACCAGGGAGGCCACTTAATGATCCAGGAAGGAATTGTTTCCTGCATGTACAGAGCTTTACGAGGAGCTCAATTGTTTTGAACGTATACAAAGGTTTACGATAAGTTCAACATGTACGTTAGCAGATGGTAGGAGTGAGAATAGTTTCTATATTAAATTTCTTTAAGTTTAAAAACATTTTTTCGGGTGATTCCTTCGATTTTACTTGTAAGATAATGAAAAGATATCGTAATAGGTCAATTATATGAGAAGCAACGATATTTCCCGGTGTACTTTGGGATTGTTAGTTTTATCTTTTTTATATTAAAACGCCGATTTAAAAAGACATCGTAGTTTTCCGTCCTGATCTTGACAGTGTAGAACATTTCTTGCTGTTTTGTTTGATCCTGCATCAAGGTACAAAATTGAAAAGAGAGAACGTCTGAAAAGCATTTTATATACTTCACGTCGGTAACGTAGATGGGTGTGTTTGACTTTTTACGCTCATTATTACGTACCTTTCCAATTGCAGTAATTTTTCTAAAGTATGATTTTAAGTATACAAATTTTCTCTAGCACTCGGATAAGCAATATGGAAGATGCGGGCAAAACGTCTCGAATTTATCGAGAAATCCTATACGAAATACTTGCACCATCAAATGGTATAAAAATTGCAAACCACGTTTTACCATTTACCCACCGATACAATTTACGTCCTTTATTTTTTACGGTTAATCGATGTGATAAATGCGACAAAAATGTTAACTTTTCGAAAAATACTGCACGACGTATTTGCATCGTCAGATAACGTAAAAATACGTATTTCGCGTATTATCATTTGCCCAACGGAGACGTAAACCTGCGTCCTTAATTTTTACGGCTAATCGAGATGACAGTTATGACGCAAAATATATTAATTTATCGAATCCTGCCCGAAATACTTGCGTCAATTGATACCTTCGCATCCGCGGACCTCCGATGGCGACCCTTGAAGTTAGCGGGAGTTTCTCGATAACGATGAACATCCTCTGGGAACACACCAAAGTTTCCGGGACTGAACGGAGGGAAACTCAAAACGACAATAACAGTGTCTACTAAATAATACAACGGAACTCACTCTATATGCCGTTTCAAACGCGGCGAGTTGGAGGATAGCTTTCACTCTGCTCAAAGGACACCTCTATGCCACCTTTGTTACAAGAAGTGTGACACAAGAAGCCGAGGCGTTACTTCTGCACTGTTGTCGTAATTGGACAATTTCTTCCTGCCACGCATAACTATGTTGGCGTGGAGGCCTCCCGCCTTCAAAGAAGTGGTCGACACCAAGGCGCCCTCGAGATTAATTAATTTGTGACAAAAATAAATTCCTGACTGCGATCCATGAAACAAAAACGTTTTCTACCCTCAAACTGTGAGCACACTTCGACCATTTATCCAGAATAATTCGGGATCGCGCCTTTTTTCTTGCTTTTTGATCTCGGAATTATCGCGCTGACATTCGGACTTTAGATCGTTTACCGGTAACGACCTTTTGGTGTAAAGTTCTGATGAAGTTATTATCGTATCGATCATCATGAGTGACCAGGACTCGACCGGGTAGCCTATTAATCATTCAATGGCCACCGAGTCACCAAATATTAATCTCCCGATGTAAAATGCAAATCTGTGGCAGGGGGTACCTCGTTGCTAACTAACTGGGTGGGTTATCACAGTTCGGTTAATCGTTAAGAAGCTTAATGGTGGACTACCGGTTGATAAGCCGATTCTTCTACTTATTATTTCATAGCTCCTTTAACGATGTACTTCACTAATGGACGTGGGGATTTATTTTTGAAATTCGAGCAAAGTGACGTCTGATGTAATTGCTGAAGGAGACTTGTATCCCTATGAGGACACGGGAACATTTTTATACATTCCGGTGAATTTATAAGCGTTGAACAGATAGACTTATGTTTTATTTTTCACGATTGCACGTTTTAGTCGTATTTTCGGAGTTCCGAGATGGTCAATGATCGTTGTCAAATTTTTTTCCAGCAATATCGACGTCCGAATTCAGCAGGCAGAATTGGAGTACAGACTCGGTAGGGAAGAGCTGGAACTTCTGACGCTTCGAGAGGAAAGCCGAGCTCTGCAGGCCGCCTTAGAATTGGCGGAAACCCACGAGAAACAGAAGAACGATACAATATTCAGGTAAACGTGGGAAAAATGGTGGCGCAATTCGAAGAACTTCGTGCAGGGAAAAAGAGGAGCTCCACTATTTCATTCCACGTATTATTGCGACAGGTCCTTTCATCTAATGGGATTCATAATTCCTGGTCATTGATCCAACTCCGTTTCCTGCCACCCTGAGAAACGATCCTCTTGGACTGTCCCTGGTAAAATCCTTTGAATCGTGTTTCTTGTCCCGCTCTGCTCCAACACCTCCCCACAAGATAACTCAAAGGATTACCAAAATTCCGAACGAAAATTGCAAAAACTTCAGGAATTACAACATTCCATCTTTCACCTCTTAATCCCGAGTTACAAGTCATCGCCGGATTTGTTAAATCCGACAGAATCCCTCCCGGATTCCGAGCAGCACATTCCATTTCTCTTATTGAACCCACAATTCCACCTCACGAGCACAGCTCCACCCAAAGTGTTTCATTTCCCTGTATTTCATACACGGCCCGACTATCCCCGTAAAAATCCCGGGCAATTGCGTTCCTCATCCCACTTTACACCGCAATGCCTTCCCACCGGGTAACTCGACGGATTGGCAGGATTTCGAGAGAAAATCTCTTGAAGAATTTCAAGGATTTCGTTGGTTTCTGGACCCGTCTATCGGCCTTCAGTGCTTTCACAGGGCGAAGCTCCCGCGAAACCCGATCAGCGGCACTCCCGGGTCACTCGGGGAGAATCCACTCATCGGGGTGAAAACTTGGAGGATTCGTTCGATTTATTCCTACTCGTCATTCTAGTTGCATCAATGGCTCGACCCAGGTGACGGTTCACGCCGTGGAAGTGAGCGCTGATCCGAAGAGTCCCAGGTTCGGAGCTGGTCCCAGAGACGACGCCCCAGGACTCTACGTGGACTGGGCCATCGAGGATTCGGGCCTCTGCAAAGGGGACAGGTCAGTAATTTAATGTCATACCATCCTCGGAGTCTCATTTGCTACATTGTACACCTAACGATGAACTTGGTACCCAAGAAAATGACAAAGACCTGTAAGAATAGTCTTTTATCCAATCCTTTAAGGTGAAGTGAAACACGTCGAGGAACTTGATCGACGTTGCTAAAGAAGATTTTTCTGAATGCCTACGTTGCTGATGTTCGTTTTTATATTGACAGCTGTGTCGAATTATATTGGGTATTGTACCAAATGGCATACTCCACCTGTCGTTTTCGTACAATAATTATAAAGAAATCGAAGTAAACTCCAGAAATCTTCTGGATTCATGCTTTCTGGGGCCTTAATTGACTGCAGAGGGACCTCCTGCGCCATCTGTGATTTCCAGGTCAATTCAATCTTCACTCCGAGACCTCGTATTCCCATCGTTTTGGCATACAAGCGCATACAACACTTTTTTTGCCTTTATCCCGTTCAAATGCGAGTTGATCGAATACCAGAGGGTTCTAAATTGTCGTAAAATTGTCCTGACCCTTTCGATTCTCATATCAGAGCCTTCGATAATTGTATATTGATCGAAATATGAGAGCTCGACGCAATTTTGGTTCTGGTCTGGGCTAAGTTAATATTTTTCTTTTCAAAATCCAAATTTTGAAGGTGTCAGAATAATTCCTAGGTGCTCACGAGTCACATCTCAAAATTTCAGACGGTTTGATCCAATACCCTTAAGAAAAAAGTGTTTTATTCAAATCGACTGATTTGAGGGGGGATTCACTTCACTTTAAGGTCTTATTTAGAAAAATCTTCTTTACCGACGTCGATCAAGTTCCTCGACGTGTTTCACTTGAACTTAAAACTGGGTTATTTCCATATTGACGCATGGGTTGGGATAATCAGCTGACTTTACTTTGGAACATTCGCCACTGAATCTCATCATCATCTGGAACTTTTAACGAAGAAGAGGGCTAATGAAAAGTTTACCGTGGAATAAGCTAACGGTCCACGTATGGCACGTAGTTTCGGTCTTGAAACAGGGTCAAGTTGTAGGTAAATTCGTAGAAACCGTTTTTATTGCTTTAGGGTCCACGGAAGCGGCGTCCTGTGTGATACGCCCTATTTTCAATAACCAGAACGTATATTCCTTCGCACATTAATTAAATGCAAGGGTGCACGTATGTATATTGCACTAAGCGAACGCAGCACTGTGTGACCCGAGACGCTATTCCCTCGGAAATTAGTGAAAATGATTTCCTCCTTTAACCTTTCCTTACGAGCGCCGACTATAGTCGGCATCCGCGCGACGACCTGTATACGCCAACTTGTACGAACGCCGACTATAGTCGGAACACATGTGACGACCTTCGTATACGAGCGCCGACTTTAGTCGATAACAAATTCTGCCAGATCCGTAGAGTATCTTTTGATTGTAGTCACTCGTATTGGATTAATCATCCTAAAAGTATATTTTGAACATACGTAACACATTTTGGCCATCGAAACGAGACGAAAAGACCAGCTATTGGTATAACTTTTAATTTCTTAAAAGTTAAGGTTAAACTTTTATTTGGAAATTTAATAATGGATTAATACGACAAAACTGTTGTTATTCAACACTTAGAAAAATGTACATACAAAAGGATGTCAAGAAGGCGTTGTTCCGGTGGAATACGTAAGTTCGAACAGCGAAAAGACTGCCGGCGCGCAATGTGTACTCTTTCGGCGCAGTGTCGCGTTCAGTGGTGGTTATTGTCTGGCGGAGCGGACTGCCGTAATAAAAGAGTTAAGAGCCGATAGCCTTTGATTTGATTTGATAGACAACAATGCGATTCTGTAACAATTGACGTTCGACCTTAAATTTGTGACGGTGTCTTGGTGGTTTCCAACGATTTCCAATGATTTCTGCTGACGATTTTTACCTGATTTCGAGCGTTAACCCTTTGAGTGCTTTGGACCCATAAGTGCGTCCGACGTTTGGTCCAATATTGCTTACACGCCCTGATGAAATTCGCCCATACGTCAAAAGGGCTTAGCGCTCACAAGGTTTAAAATTTATGATTTCCTGAATGAATACCCTTCGGGGTGATCCGCATTTTCCAGGGTAACCACGTTTGTAAACTCTCGTTCGTTTATCGAGCCACGGGAATGATCCCGCCTTCTCGGTCTCTCGCAATTAAGGCGCTTTTCCGCTTTCGCGTCCTCGGAACAACGGAGTTCCGTGGTGAAAACTGCGCGGGGTGTACGCATCCGAACCTCTTGGAGGTTTCTTCCCCGGGATGCGTGGCGACGTCGCGAGAAAAGCGCAGTACCTTCAGCCAGACAGACCGGGTATCAGTGGGAACAATGGCCGATCTTGGAGTTCGGTTCCCAAGGGTCGCCGTAGCGTGAAGCACCGCCGGAAGTCCGCCATGTGCCCCCGCTAATTGCACCTGCAACTTCGCACGACCTCGTCCCATTCGAGTGGAGCTGAAACTTATGCCAAGTGCCTTCATCAGTGTTCCAACACCGTGGAAAGGGCAAACCGTGGGTGTAGGTGGCTTATGGCCTGGATGGTGTAGGGGCCGATCGATGGATTGGATTATCTTATATATTTGATCTACCGTGGATTTATCGCTTAAGTTCAGTATAGGGTAATAGGTGGACTAAAGTGCTAATTGCTTCCTACAACCTCGCACGACCTCATCTCAGCGTTTCTGAGACACGGATGGAATTAACCATATGGGTGGGTGGACTTTGGAATTGGACGCAGATGTCGAACAATTGATTGAATCGACTTTGGTATATGCTGATGTACCCTGAACACATCACCCAAATTCCATTCCTCGGATAATTAATGGGCTAATGTGCTAATTGCACCTGTAGTCTCGCGCGATATCATCCCGTTTTGTGAAACCGAAATTTGATCCCGCTTTCATCAACATTCCTACCCCAGGCTTACGAATTGGATAGGGGAAATGTCAATTGATTAACCGAATCACCCTAAGTACGTGGTGATTTCTATGGACTTATCGCTTAAGTTCCATTCCTTGGGTAGTCGATGATCTAAAGTGCTAATTACACCTGTAGCATCCCAACTCATCCTGTTTAAGGTGACGTGAAATACGTCGAGGAACTTGATCGACATTGCTAAAGAAGATTTTTCTGAATACCTACGTTGCCGACGTTCGTTTTTATATCGACAGCTGTGTCGAATTACATTGAATATTGTACCAAATGGCATACTCCACCTGTCGTTTTCGTACAATAAATATAAAGAAATCGAAGTAAAACTCCAGAAATCCTCTGGATTCATGGTTTCTGTGGCTCCAATTGACTGCAGAGGGACCCCCTGCGCCATCTGTGATTTCCAGGTCAATTAAATCTTCACTCCGAGACCTCGTATTACCATCGCTTTAGCATAGCAGCGCATAAAACACTTTTTTTACCTTTATCTCGTTCAAATGCAAGTTTATCAATTACCAGAGTGTTCTAAATGGCTGGACAATTGTCCTGACCCTTTCGTTTCTCATATTAGAGCCTTCAATAATTGTATATTGATCAAAATTTGAAAACGCGACGCTATTCTAGTTCTGGTCTGGGCTAAGTTAAAATTTTTCTTTCAAAAATCCAAATTTTGAAGGTGTCAAGATGATTCCTAGGTGCTCAAGAGTCACGTTTCCATTGACGGTTCGATCCAATACCCTTAAGAAAAAAGTGTTTTATTCGAGTCGACTGATTTAAGGGGGGTTTCACTTCACCTTAAGCGAAGCTCAGGTTTGCTTCGAATACTTCTTCCATCGGCGTATCTACGATATGATTAAGATGAACCGTAGATGCGGAAGGGTTTAATGGGCTGGATCAAATATATTTAATCTACTGTGAATTTATCATTTGAGTTACATTTCTCGCGATAGCCTGAAGTGCTAATTACACCTGTAGCGTTACACAATCTCGTCCTATTAAGTGAATTTGAAGTTTGAGCTGTGTGTCTTCATCGGTATTTCTACAACACCATGAATAAGATGAACTGTGGATGTAAATGGACTTGTAGATAGGATGATGTTGACGCCAACCGACGAATCCAATGTTAATCTACTGTGGACTTGGCACCCAAGTTACATTCCTAGATGGACTAAAGTGCTAATTAAACCTGTAGCCTCATACCTCATTCCATTTGAGCCAAGATCTTGGTCCTAATTACCTTCATCAGCGTTTCCACAGGATAAATGGCCATAAATGGTGGGGAGGCTTATGAATTGAACAACGCAAATGTCATCTTAAGTGTTTGGTCACTAACTTGGATTTGTCACTCAAGTTCCACACCTTGCGTAGTAGATGAACCGAAGTGCTAATTACACCTGTAGTCTCGCACAACTTCATCCCATTTGAGCGAGTTTGGGCCATGTGCCTTCGTCGGTATTTCTACGGTATGAATAAAGTGAGCCATGGACGAAGATAGAACTATGAGTTGAACTGTATACACGTCAATCGATGAACCGGATTATCTTGTATACTTGAAATTTCCAAGCATGTCACATTCTGCTCCGTTTCTTTTTTCTTTAAATCGCTTCCACTGCGTCCTTATTCCTTATTTCCCCTCTTCGGTAAAATCCGGTGTTATTTTGCTTGCTCAGAGATCGTTTTACGCTTTCCTATCACAGATAGAGCACGTAGAGGAGCAACCTTGTATACAGAGCTAAAAGTTAAATCTCTCGTTGGAATTGTCTCCGGTTATATCAGGTCTCAAAGTCTTAATCCGAAGAGAGAGCCCACTTCAAGATAAGAGAGCTCGGGAAACATCGAATCATACTTCCTTTAAAACCGTATCTATCTCTGCTCCTCACCTCTCAATAATTTCCATACTATACCAGAGGACATTCTTCGAGATATAATTTATGTTAATCACTCCTGCAGTTCAAAATACTTCGGAGAAATAATAAAATATTCGTCTGCCTCTCGGAAAACATTCCCGGGACCCTGACATTAAGAGGATACGAACAGCGCTAAAAAATTTAATCGACGTCGATAAAGGAACATTCATCTATACACTTTTTGGTGGTAATGCCGTTTTGAATATTCAAGTGAGAACATAAGCTGGCGCATCCCATTACCGATATTTATATTTATGTTGAAATCTTTTACAGTCTACATTGAGAATTACACGAACTGAAGGGTTCAATATATCATTTCAATAAAGTATTGATAAGAAAATCGATGTAAAACTGCCGAAATCCCATAAATTCATGACTGTTTATATTTTGACGAACCAACCTAGCCATCTGTGACGTTCAGCTGCAACTAAATTTTTGCTCTAAAAACACGCGGTAGCAGCAGGACCAGCTAGCATTCTCTTGCAATCGTAGGTGAAAGTATTTACCATTTTATCCCCATCCGATTTTGTAATATTTCATTTCTACGGTATTCTAAATATTTCGAGCTAGGTCCTGAAACTCTTAATTTTCGAATCTAAGCTTCCAAGAAGCGTAAAACATCGAAATGTGTACGGACCACGCCATATTAGTTCTAGTCCATGATAAGTAAATAGATTTTTGAAGAAAAATAAAATTTCATAAGTTTCACGACCTACTTTAGGATCTCCATATCCACGTGATAAAATTTGAAACGAATCGGTACACCCAATTCGAAGAATACTTTCCCCAACGATTGACTTCTCAGATATATATAGGCTAACTCTTTCATATCCTCTTAAAATCGGGAACGTGTAACGTCAGAAAAGGAAAAAAGGATGTATTCCGATAATACCCACAGACATCGGTTTGCAGGACGTCACCCGAAGACCTGAACATCCTTTTCGACCACCTCGGAGTATCAGGTTTCCTCAACCTTTAGCCTTACAGACTATTTCTTTAAGACGTGCAATTAATGGTTATTTTCACAACGTCAGGTAGAATGCTATCTCCCGTGTCGCATCTTCCCCTTTTCCAAGGTATTACCTCGTCTTACCGTCATTTCCCATTTTTAAGAGGATATGAAACAGTCAGCCTATATATCTGAGAAGTCAAATCGTTGGGGAAAGTATTCTTCGAATTGGGTGTACCGAATCGTTTCAACTTTTATCACGTGGATATGGGAGGCCCTAAAGTAGGTCATGAAACTCATAAAATATTATTTTTCTTCAAAAATTCATTTACTTATCATGGACTAGAACCAATATGGAGTGATCCGGGCACGCTTTCGATGTTTTTCACTTCTTGGAGGCGTAGAATCGAAAATGGAAAGTTTCCGGACCTAGCTCGAACAATTTAGAGTACCGTAGAAAAGGAGTATTACACAGTCAGATGGAAAAATGTGGTACATACTTTCACCAACGATTGCAAAAGAGTGCTGGCTTATCCTGCGGCTAACACACGTTTTAGAGCAAAAATTTAGTTGCCGCTAAACGTCACAGATGGCGACGTTGTTTCATCAAAATATAAACAGTCATGAATTCATGGGATTTCGGCAGTTTTACATCGATCTTTTTATCATTACTTCACCGAAATGACATATAGAACCCTTCAGTTCGTATAATTCTTAACATAGACTATAAAAGACTTCGACATAAATATAAATGTTGATAATGGGACGCGCCAGCTTATGTTAACACTTGAGTATTCAAAACGGCATTACCACCAAAAAGGGTGTACATGAATTTTACTTTATCGACGTCGAATAAATTTCTTAGCGCCTATCATATCCTCTTAGTGACAGGTAAACAACCGTAAGGACCCCTCATTCCATACACGAGATTCTAAAACATTCGAGTCGTATTTCAGCCAAGATTTACAAATAGCTTTAAAAAATGTTATGTACGGAGGAAATGAAGGAGAACGTTACTTTACTTCCAGGATCCTAGAAGTCAACGGGAAGATCGTAGTCGGAGCCGGAAGAAGCGACCTGGCGAGGCTCCTGGCCGTTGCACCGGATGCTGCGCAGATCGTAGTTCTCCGAAGGGGTGAATCCTTGGCTGCCCTGCGCACCCTAAGATCGGATAACCTCAGACTCACCCACAGGATCGGTTATCTCGAGGAACAGGTTAGAGATCTCCTGGCACCGGCGAGATCTCCGATCCCCACAGATCCTCCTCCGAGTCGTCAGGATCACGTTCAGGTACATGCCCTAGAGGCGATCTTATCGAGCTGTCGTCGTGATCGCCGATCCTTGCGTTCCGATAACAGGATCCTAAATAAAACCGCTTATTACGCGATCAGATCCAGAGGCTGAAAATTCGAATCAAAGTGCTTCCCATCCTGGTAGATCTCGTATCTCCTAATATATTAAGCAGTTAGTAACCATTAGGGATGGTCGATGGTAACTCAGCCACAGGAGTCTACCGACATCTCCGTTTCGGAGTAGGGTGGCAAGCTAATTCGAGGGAGTGCTTCAAACTCTGACACGTGCTAATCTGAACCGTCAGAACCATGTATCAACGTAATATACAGCGTACATCTAACGCTACCCGCAATCGATCCAATATTTGCCTTTTTAACAAATATTTATAAACATCCGAATGATTTTTTGCAGTTACTAGTTTTCGTAGTCCTGAACATGTCCAGGATTACATAACTATTCTCGGACCTTGTTTGCGCCGTTTAGAAATGAGCGCTGAGATAAGTTCCTGGCAGGTAAATTCAGAGTTCGTTGAATTTGCACCACGCACAAGTTTAAATAAGAACAACAATAACAATTTATTGTACTAATAAAATAACAGATAGAGAATACAATTAGTCGATGTGAATTCGTGATACAATCTCGTGTTCGGGTTACGCCCTAAGTCCCAGGGCGGAGACAAAACATCCGAATTGTTCAAAGTCTGAGTTGAGTCTAAATCTTAAAAAATATGGAAAGTTGCATTCTCGATGCACTTTCTTTCCTTTTCTCTGTCGAAAACTAGGAAGGGATGCACTTGGAATGCTGAGCCTTGATTGGTTGACTTTAGGATAGCATTTCCCAAAGGTTCGTTTCTCCAGGACGGCCCAGACTTCCTCGAATCCTGGAAAAACTTCGCGATGTCTGTTAGCCGTAGGACACCTTTTTGGAAATGCGTCGCCATGGCATACCCTGAGGTGGCCACTTTGAAGACCCCCCTGATCGGGGTCATCAATTTCGAGTCCTTTCTTTAGCTATTTTCTGACCACGTGCAGGACACTCCTTCGGGAAAGAGTGCCTCGCATTGTCCATGGCCAAATGTTGCTCAAATGTTCTTCAGGCCGCCTCACTCCAATCAGATGGTTCAACAAACCTGTATATAAGAGACTATTTACTCACGAAATAATGCTGGAGATCGCGGAAATTCAATTGGATGTCGTTACAGGCATTGTTGTAGAATGTGATGTATTAGAAATTGTTCTAAACTAGCGATGAGACTCTTTAAGAATCATTTGAAATTAGTGGGTCATTATCCGGGACTAATGATATCGCAAGTAGAATGTTATAAATTGTTAGAAATTATCGAAATATTCTCAGAAATTTTAATGCCTAACTTCACTTCCTACCGAATTATCTTGTTGTTTATCATACGAAATCAGTGACAAGTGGTTCTTAAAGGTCATCATTTTGCCTAATTTCTGAGTAAATTCGCGCACGTAGAATTAATATGTACTTATAAAGTACAGTCACGATACGTTAATGAAGTTTTAATATAATAATCCGTGTCATATAACATGTGTATATGTACAACGGTACCTATATGAAATTTGTAGGTATTCCAAAAAGGACCGCAAGTTACGGCCCTAGTAGCGAATCTTCCTGGTTTAAACGCGAACAGCCCCACCGAACTTCGTCAAAGTTTGCCCACGGTGAGAAATCGCCACAGCGATCATTCCAGACGCTTCAGTGAATCGCGAAGCTCGAAAGACATAGACTTTGCTTCGGATGGAGTTTCCAATGGGCACCACAAGTCCAGAAGCAAGCAGAAGCACCAAGGCTTCCAGTTAGCCCGATCTACGGCCAGCTTGAACAGCAAGCAATCGCAATCGCAATCGCAGACGCAACGAAGAAGGTCGCCCAGAGTGGAGTCCGCCATGGAGCACCTGCAAAAGAGTCGGAAGAATCCCCCCACTTTGCAGTCTCTGGAATTCGATTCCGAGCCAACTTACTACAGATTACAAGTAAGATTTACGATCACCCTTACCAGAAACATATTACCTAATACGCACCCTTTATATAACGAACTTCGAAAAAGAAACGATTTTCTCCTGCTCGACGCTTGAGATTGAAACAAGATGGCGTCGCTACCGATCACGTGACGCGATGCCTGAAACGAGCGTTAAAGATAAAACCTTTCATCAATGTAAAATGACTTTGGTTAGTAAATTTTCGTTGAACCTTAGGAAACGGTTTTCCAGAAGCCAGAAAATCCCAAGAAGTATCCTTCTGGGCAAAGTTTCAGACGGTTTCATAATCTGGAAAAATGGTAGAGAAACTAATTTCGCTCCGAAGTCACGCGATGAAAGTGGCAGTGAGGTGCCTCAATTTAGGCCTAAGTTGCCCTCTGTCAAACTTTTTAAGTAATAGGGTGTTTGTATCCCTCCAGGACTCCCAGTCCCGGGCATCGGAGCACTCGGAGGCGTCGGTGGCGTATAATTCTCAGCAAACGAAGACTCGTCCGGCGCCGCCGAAGAAACCCCTTCGACTTTCTTTGCACCGAGCCGCGAGTCTTCAATCGGTCGAAAGCGCGCCGCCAGCGCCGCCCCACGACGCTCAGAGGAAACCAACCAAAAGGAACCACCGTGGAGACCCACCGGTAGAGAAGAACTCGCGTACCGACGGTGCCTGCGAAACGCAGGCCAACGAGACGAGTTCCAATAATAATCCGCCGCAGCCTCCGCCGAGGACGCCATCTAGGGCGGAATCGTGTCAGAGCGCCCTGAGGTGGCCGTCTCCAAAACCAAGGCCACAACTTGCTTCCGTTCCGATGGAGAAATGGTGCTGATTGCGTATTATCAAAACGCGATACAAATTTCCGCATTGTAAATTACTTCCTTGATAGACCACTGCTCCACATTCCTGTTTTTATACGCATGATTAGACCGCAACTCGATATAAACTTTCAGCGTGCCAGTTCAAGGACGTTCCATTTTAGCGTTATTTGCAGTCACGTGATTTTTCCTTGCCACTCTCTAGCGTCAGAAAAAGAAAGTTCAATTTTCCCAACTTCAGGGTCAACGATACAAAAGCAGCAATTTGATGACATTTTAGGGTCGATTAATGAAATCATGAGGAATATCCGTCTTCATTGCGTAGATGAAGTACCCTACAACACTTTTTATTGTGATGCCATTTTTTTACTTTTATCAATTCCGGAAAAGTAAATAGTGCTACCATTTTTTCTTTCTTCTCTTCAAGTTTATTTTTACAAATAATTGATCTGCGCTCATTGAATCATTCATAATTTGTATTTACGAGCGATATGTGTTGTTTTGATTTAAGAACAAAAACATTGGTTCGAGTGAAATTATATAATTTCTGATTCAAGTAGGTTTTAACGATAACGTGTGTTACTGTCACGTGGCCCAATTAACGCTAAAATTATATATACACCAATTATGTACAGATAGTTCCCGTCTTTTCGAATTAATTGATTCCTGACGACCGTTCTAAAATCGAGAGTTAGTACTGTGTAAGTACATTTGGTATATAAATAATTCTGTTAACAAATACTACGTTCATAAGAAGAAATGTATAAATTATAGAAATAAGTGAATGGAGAATTCGTTAAGTGTAAACTGCCTGTATTTCAGAAGTAAGACTGTACAGTAGCAAACATTAATGCCTTCTCTTCATACATTGACGACACTATATCCGTAGATAAAGCATTCATGTTTTTTCCCTGTACATTGTAAGATTAACAAAGAATTCAGAAATCTCCATAGAAGCCTAGAATGCGGACGTTTGATGCTCGATAATTAGTATGTTAGCCAACAGATGGCGGCGGTGTAATCATCTCTCCATTACTCTTAATCTTACGGCAATAAATTACGTCTTTGAATAGCTAAAAGGCGCTTTTAACGTTAAAAGCAAGGTATGAGAACGGGTCAATGTCTTTAAAAAAATTAAACGAGTGATGTTAATACAAGAGTGCTATAAAATAAGTACATCTTCCTTCTTCAATCAATTAATGAGTATTATCAAGTATCGCGGGTTGATTGTAGCATACACGTTGAGTCATCTGCGATGAAAAATGTGTCGAGTTTTAACATATTTACGTTATTATTTTACGTATAACGTCTTGTCAGGTCAAAACACAAATGTAAGAATTTTGCCTAAAATTATATGAACAGGAGACAGACTTGATAACATGTAATTTACATATCATGGCAGGTGCAAACCGTGTAAACACAAAGAATTAGAGTAGGACATTAATCTCCAATTCTTTACAGCGAGGCTTTAACTCATTCCTCATGAACATAAACATATAATTTTGATCTTGTTAATGAAAACAATCAAGTCAGTATCATAGCAAATAATTTGAAACTAGACCCAGGTGGTATTGTTAGCTCGTAAATACCACCAGGGTGTAGTTTCAAATTATTTTTATGATGTAATCAAGTGGATTACTTCATTAAAAAAAAAATGCAACGCAATGTTTCTATCGAGACAACTAAATCTCTAGCGTGACAAATATAACGAATTCTATTTATTTAGAAATATTTCTGCAATCTATAAACAGTCGAGGAAGTGCTTCAGTCTGAAACTTCAGTCACTGGAACTTCGAAGAATAGATTAAGATAAATGAAACAGGCACGAAGTTCTCAACTCAACTATATTTAGGTAACTTTAGCATTAGTCATGCAATGGTCGAAACTTGCCCGTAGACTATAAGTTCAATTATCAACTAAGCGAGAGCTGAATGTTGGTACCATTTCTTGGTACAAAAGGCCCTAGTACTTGATCTCACGAACGCAAACAAGAGAAACCAGGATAAAATAGATTATTGTGGCAATAAATATTAACACTTTACACTCGAGGCCTTTTTCGCCAGGACGAATCAGCAGCTCGAAACGATTTTCTGCATACTTGGTGAATATCATTCAACTAACTTAAAATGATTTCACATACAAATTAACGTATAAAACTATTATACTTTAACATTCTACGTATCCCCTACATCTGAAAAAAGAAAATTTGTTAAATGTTAAGAACTGAATTGCTGCTTTATATGGTATTTTACCAAACAATCGCCAAGATACATCTTCGGCTTGTTGGGGCAATTATTGCAGGAATATGTTGTTTGATGTTTTTCGCCGGGCTTATTTCGTTAAGAGCAAACCTTGCAATCCTTCTTACTAACAAGGAAGGGTTTTCAGGTGTCCGCCTCCGATTGTTTTGGTTCTTGGATATATTTTAGGGGACCAAAAAATAAGAAACACGTGTATTTTTATATCGACCCGTTTTCACATTTATCGGGTGAAACAGCCCCTCAAAGTTTATAAGAAGAGGTATAAAAGTTCCTAGTTTGAAGAATAATGTGGTGAGTAAAGCTTGTTGTAAATTTCAAATACGTCACAACTTGCTTGGTATATAATGTTCTTATCGGTATTCACCCTTACCTGGGGGTAAACTACCCCTAACCATACGAAGACACGTATAGAGACTTGAAACGTAGAACATGGTCATTAAATTCTTAAGAAACTTTAAGCATGAATTATTTTATGATGATAAAATAGTGGTTTAATGACATTCTATCACTATTGAGGGGTGAGACACCCCTAATTAATTAGTTACGTTTGTCTTATAATAAAAAGTGTAAAAGACGCGTAATCTTCGAACGAATGCAATTAAAATTCATGACGTGAACAGTATTTCATAAAGATGAAGCTCTAAAATGTCACCATAGTAACAACTATCCCCAACGGAAAGTCCACCCCAATAGAGCCACTTATGTCCGGTCTGGAAAAGGAAAATGTTTACACGTACAATCGCTGTTCAAATGCAATGGGAATTCAAACAAGCATAAAGAGAATGTGCCAAATGGTGGCTAAGTCTCTATCAAGTCTCAAGTCTCTATACGTGTCTTTATATGGTTAGGGGTAATTTACCCCCAAGTAAGGGTGAATACCGATAAGAACATTATATACCAAGCAAGTTGTGACGTATTTTAAATTTACAACAAGCTTTACTCAACACATTATTCTTCAAACTAGGAATTTTTATACCTCTTCATATAAACTTTGAGGAGCTGTTTCACCCCCTAAATGTGAAAACGGGCCGATATAAAAATACACGTGTTTCTTATTTTTTGGTCCTCTAAAACATATTCAAGATCCAAAACAATCGGAGGCGGACACCTGAAAATCCCTCCTTGTAAGGGAAAGACGGAATTCCTAAACTCGAGGTCGAAGTAGAAGCTCGATCACGAGTCTGGAGTGGAATTTTTTTTTTCATTAGACATGGCAACTCCTTATTTGTTAGGATCGCCCCAGCTAAATGGCAAGGAGTATCATTCTACCCTTCGTCAAATTGTACAAACATATGTAGAGTGAAGTACAGATAGATGCCCCGGCCGGATAGACGCCACGTTTTCCAGATCTTGAAAACAAATTAATTTTTAGCAACCTGACGTCCCTGTTTGCATAGCCCCCTCTCCCCGGTACTTCATTTACGACGCAACACCCACAAAGCATGCACGTGCGTAGGGTTATGATCGCTTAAAAAAATCAGTGCATCAGATTTGCCCGTAATGTTTTTCTCAACTCAAAGCAACTACTGTAAAAGTAGAAAACTAACGTGTAAACTAGCACATTTACCTCACTTCTACATCATAAATATCACAATTAAAGACCTTCAACGGTTTCCTAATCTCACTTTGTAACGTTTATTTTGATATGTACGAAGGCATCTAGCCGCACCTAAAAGTATAGATGCCCTAGTTTAAAGTCCGAATAGTCGCCTACAGAGAATAGGTGCTTAAACTATCACATTTTTGGTATGGATAGATGCCTTTTGGAGATTATTTTATTTTGTAGTTTTTTTTTTCTTTTTCTTTTGTATTCAACGCGGAGTATTTAACGATATTTGCTCTAAGTAAAGATATTCTATTACAGAATGCCGAGACGTTACATTCGAAAAGTAGATGTAGGAAATACATGTTTTTTCTAACGTATATGCCTACGTTAACTAATCAAAACTCTTTTTGTTAACTTTGCTAAGATTAAAAATACGATTATTCAAAGAAATTGATTATAATTTATTCTCCCGCAGGGAATCTATCCGTTCACACGAAGGACCTTTTTTATTTTTCTTCTATTATAATTACTATTGATCCTGGGCAAATATTTGTAGAATATAATGAAGTTAAATATGATAGGATGATATGGACATGGAATTGTTTGGAAACGAAAGCAAATACCGACTTTAGAAGCATATGTTAAAAACGTAGGCGTCTATCCGGGCTTTTCCCTATACCTTGTTGCCGATTGGGTTTCCGCATCAAACGAAATGGTGATCGAGAGTCACCTCTCGAGTGCAAAGGGTTAAATTAACATTTCAGTAAGCTGTGCAATATCGTGAACTTCCGTAAATTAAACATTTTGAGAGAAAGTCCACCAGAGAAAACGTTTAATGTCATTAATTCTTATGATGAACTCTCAGCTTGAATTATTTTTTATTTTTATCTTGGTTTTCCTATCATATTAGGGCGCTCAACGATAAAAGCAGTGCAAATCGAAATACAAATGCTTTCGCTGGAGAGATTCGATGACTGATTAAGAAGTCGATTTATGATATATTAAGATGTCGATTTATAAAGCGTATTCACTAAATGCACGGAATAGCGATAAACGGAAGCAATATATTCAGTCTGGTCCAAATAGCTGATTTTCTAAGGAACCATATAAATGTTCACCTTTTCTGAATCGAAAAGTGCAATGATGTTTTGCAATAAAATTCAATTAACTTTTAATCAAGCCTTCCGGGAAGACTTCCATCCGTCGTTTCTCCCTATCCTGTGCAAATGGTCAGAAATGATATTAATTTTTATAACGAACACCGTTTAATGTAAGTGCGATTTAATGATACAAGCGATTTTATTACGTAGGTTATAGAGTTGTACAAAGATTCGGAAACGTTTGTACGTAGAGAATCATTTTACAGATGTTTGCTACCGAGTGCACATGTGCTAGTAACTGTATCGCCGAGATAGCGATATGTTCCTATCTCGTATTGTGTATATCTACACGGATGTAAAATGAACGTATTTATAAATAAAATGCTGCCGCATGTTTTACCTGAATTACGTTGTAAAATAATATATTAAAACAATACAAATCATAAACGGTACTTTCCACATGGAGAATAAAAAAAAATCAGTGCTCCGCTTTGGCTTTGCACGGACACTAAGAAAGCGCTCGTATAGCCGATTGTTATTGACTTGCTTCATTAAAATCGTCGCTTTTCAACTCCGCAATACCAGATTAATGTTACATACATTTAAACCTTGCAGGAAATGCTTTATAGAATAGTGGAGACTGCATAAAAATCCGTAGGTACTCTAGTTCTCGCAATTAGCCCGAATAGGCCAGGTACTCACCTGGGACTTCATATTATATGATGCAGGCGGTATAAATTCACTTTGTCCATTAAATTCCGGATACACATATTTAAGGTGAAGTGAAACACGTCGAGGAACTTGATCAACGTCGATAAAAAAGATTTTTCTAAATGCCTACGTTGCCGACGTTCGTTTTTATATTGACAGCTGTGTCGAATTATATTGTGTATTGTACCAAATGGCATACTCCACTTGTCGTTTTTGTACAATAATTATCAAGAAATCGAAGTAAAACTCCAGAAATCCTCTGAATTCATGCCTTTTGGGGCCCTAATTGACTGCGGAGGGACCCCCTACGCCATCTGTGATTTCCAGGTCAATTAAATTTTCAGTCCGAGACCTCGTATTATCATCGTTTTAGCAAAGAAGCGCATACAACACTTTTTTTGCCTTTACCCCGTTCAAATGCGAGTTTATCGATTACGAGGGTGTTCTAAATTGTCGTAAAATTGTCCTGACCCTTTCGATTCTCATATCAGAGCCTTCGATAATTGTATATTGATCGAAATATGAGAGCTCGACGCCATTTTGGTTCTGGTCTGGACTGAGTTAAACAATTTGTTTGAAAAATCCAAATTTTTAATGTGTCAGGACAATTCTCAGATGATCAGGAGTGACGTGTCACAGTTTCGGACAGTTTGGTCTAATACCCTTAAAAGAAAAGTGTTGTATTCGAATCGACTGATTTGAATGGTGTTTCACTTCACCTTAAGACATACAGCTATAAATTGTAGTATAATCTTCGTGGCTGAGAACACTAATATGTACATACGTTAAAAAAGGTTCATGTCGAGTTATCAGACACTGTAGAGAACTCACGTGAGGAAAATTTGGTTAACACTATTTCTACCACGATTTTGTGTATATCTATTTCGACCAAAAGGTTTTGATGAGCTGAAGGAAAATGATACCGCTAAATAAATTTAACAATTATTATACGAAAACTCAAAACATTAATTGAGAAAAAATTATTAAACTTTGAAAATAATTTCAAGTTAAAATTTTAAAAGGTGTCTTTTGACACCTTTGGTAGAAATAGTGTTAAAAGAAAAGACCTGCTGTCGACAGTAATTTTACTATGTAATTGAAATATTGGAAAATTTGTTTAATTCATACTGTTATTTGTTTTATTTGTGCAATATGCAGTTACTAAACTTCTTATACACAGGCGCATGTGGTCTGTCGTGATGAATCATGAGTGACGCATTCATACTAACTGGTATTTGCAGCTACGTGGGCACATGGATTCCCCCACGACGTCGCTTTGTTTTTCCCCCAGCATCAACTCGAAAAAAGACCCCAGCTTCTTCGATAACTCATCTTATGTTCATGGCACGATACGACTATCTGACAGTCTTTAAAAGCTCACCCACCGGTTCGTCGACTCTTGTACATTTCGATTACCTCATTATCTTGTATCGACGTGAGCGAAGCTCTGCATCTCCAGTGTAGTGTTAACAATTGCGAGGGACTAAAGAATACTTTTAAGTCCTGGAAAAATGAATTTCACGTGGTTAAACGCGTTATCACCGTTAATAGTGCTCCTGTCCGTACTGCATCTGTCCATTGCTGGTATAGAAGCTTTTATTAAAATATGACATCGAAATTATGCAGTGTTCCCTTAACAACTGTTTTTAAATCAAACAAATTCTGTTGTAAAGAAAACCATATATGCACTATGCTCCGTATAAAGTACTACTGTAAAATAAGTAGTATCATCCTACTCTTCACTATTAGGGTACACAAGACGGTGAAAAAAAAGCAGAAAATAGTGCAACAAGAATAATTTGTGCTATGTTTATGCTTTTTTGTTATCTTGTACCCTGATTAGCGAGCTAAATAAAATCGCAACAGTACAACGGTTAAATTAATATTTCTTTCCACGCTTATATTTGTGCCGATGATTGTGAAAGTGGGCTGTCATTTTTTTGGTTACGATATTAATTCCAAATTATTGTAAGTTAAATGGGTAAAAGTCGAATATGGAATACATTTTTTTTCTATTTTTACATGAACCAATGTTTCCTAATTACGGACACACTTATTGCAACATTATTTTCCTCTATGCGCGAATAACTAATTAAAACAATTAGATGCAGTTATGTACTATTAGTACATTCGAATAATTTAATAACGAACCTTTGCTTTTCAAGATTCCGATTGTCCCGATATAATCTCAAAATCACAATGGGGCGGAAGGCGAGCAAAACGTGTAAATTACCTGATAATACCGCTTCCGTACGTCATAATTCACCACACAGTAACACCCAATTGCACCATTCGTAGTCATTGCAAGAATAGGATGATAAATACTCAAGATTACCACATGGACATTTTTGGCTGGGACGACATCGGCTGCTCGTAAGTCTTAAAATTAATACTTAAATCGAAATCATCGCTGTCTTTTTCCCAATTAAGCCTCATTGTAAGTCTTCACAAGTATACTTCTCCCTCAACATGAAATAAAATTCCAAATGTACCCAAAAAAGTTCTACAAGAAGGGAAGGAAGAACGTTTTTTGTAGTTCCGTACACAAATTCACTACAAAAAAGATTATCTTAACATTATGATATGAATGTCAGTTATTCGTGTTATTTATAATTTTACAGATTCTTTATTGGGGGAGACGGTAGCGTGTACGAAGGTGTAGGATGGAATTATGAAGGCTCACATACCTTGGGGTATAACAGGAAATCTGTGTGCATTTCTTTCATCGGTTCTTATCAGGGTAATGCAAATTAATTTGTTAGATTAGTTTCAAAATAGTCGGTAGCCATCTCTTTCCATTATGCTAATAACTCGAACGTATCTACATACTATACCGGAACCATGCGTTTAATTAAAATATTTACATCACTTGCCATGTCATTAATGTTAAATTGTCATCCCAGATAAACCTGCGAGCCAGAAGATGTTGGATGTCGCGCATGACCTTATAAAATGTGGCAAATCTCTAGGAATCTTACGAAGGAGTGTTAAGGTACTCAATGCTCGACAAGTTTCCAGTACTCTAAGTCCTGGGAGTGAATTAGCTAGGCAAATTGAATCATGGCCAGAATGGGCATCTGAGCCCTAATCCATCCCCAAGTGTTCAATTACCCAAAACAAGATAAGTACTCAGAAAAGTATTCGGTACTCTACAACTCGTGCACCTCGTGCATCACCCAGAATCAACGCAATACTATTACATAACATGCAATTATACACGAGTAAAATGTTCTGTCCAAATAGATACTTCACGACCCTCTTTGTTTAACCATATACCAGTATTTTACAATTACATATTAATTAATTTTGTTCTTAAATACACGAGAATGGCTGCCAAATTTCTTTCCTTAACCAACCTACAACTCGATATCCTTAATTTGCGTGGAAAATTGACAAAACCGTCAAATGTTAATTTTAAGAACATTTTCACAAATTATTCCAATTGTGGTACATCGTGTTACTATAACTGTATCGATGTTATTTCCTTTCACTTAATTTTTACGCGGCGATAAACACTAAATTAGACTCGTTCAAGTTCGTTACCTTTTGAATGGAGATCAAGAATGAACGATTTTATTTAAATATATTTATTGTTCAATTTTGTTTATGATATATCGCATGAAACATCGCTACACCAGTTGTCCGAAAACTGCGTAAACGTCATCCGAATGACTCGCGGTAACAAAGGGTCTGTCTGCGCGTCGACGTACACGTCGAGAATATACGAAAAAGAGCCCAGCATTAGATTGCGAAGATCCTGAAAGTGCTGCCAAAGTAAGGAAAATAATTCACGAAGCCCTGTTGTATATAAATTGCAATACTTAACGGAAGTGAAAATCATAGATGAAAAAAGCGGACAACTGTACAAAGAAAAAAGTGGACAATGCGCTGCAATACAGTTCCGCCTATTCTGTCGAATCGCGGCAATAAGGCAAATGAATAAAGATCATTAAGGTAAAAATGAATCCAGAAATAAACAAACAATAAATAATTTGTCATGTGTTTAATAACACCATAGATTATTAAATAAAAATACTGTTCGCAGCAAAATGCACTGTAGTGCGTTAATCGATCTTTTATTAATATTATCTATAATATATAACGATAGAATAATCGAGAAATAAATCAGACTTAACGCGCATGGGTATTTCATTATTCCGTGACTTTCCTTATTATGACAACACTATCAGCAGTGTATTATCGAGACCATATTCTTATTCTCGATAAGGCATGTCGGATACGATTTACACCGAATGAAGCTTCCCTGCAAGGGTCGTGACAAACGAAGGTCTCTTAAGTACCACCGCACCTTTCATGCAATCATCGCAATTAATTCGCGATACATAATCGACGCATGTAATGGTCGGTCCACCATAAGCCAAGGCAAAAGTAGCTCCTACGTCAGAAATTGTATTTAACATTCACTCCACAAAGACCGTGCATTAAAATGAAATCGTAAAAATAAAATAATAATACAAAATAATTCGTAATTTCTTTAAATCCATCCAAACTTGAGGTCACCTAAAGATGCACAATAGCTGCCGTCAAACGTGGGTATTAGACTTATGTCTAATTACAATAATTATTAAAAATATGTTAAAACGTTCCACTGAGTATGTAACAAAACAGTAGTAACCTCGATAATAGGATTTAATTGTACTTGAAAATAAAACAGACGTGCATGTATGTCCATGATTAAGAGTTATTATTCCAATATAGAAGTCACATCTTGGCGCGAGTGCTCCGACCATTACAAGAAACAATCCAACGCATGCGAATTTTCATTCTAGTTCGGATTTCCGCCACCAAGGCTTGACGGCGCTGCCGTAGACCCCGCAACAGAAAAGGGTGTCCACGAGAAATCCCGAATGCTCCGAAGTACCGAAGCCGCGTAGAAATAAAAAAATAAGGGTATTAAGTATAAAATTTAGAAGAATCGTCAAAAAAAAAAGAAATTCGATACGAATAAGCTTTGCCGGTTCGTCTTTGAAATCGTCGTCTCTCTCGAAACCACTAAAAGGACATACCATAGTTGTCGATGATAACAAGATAAACGCAACTCTCCCGCTTGCTCACCGCTTTCCCCGATCACTTTTAGTTACATTTCGGTACACGACCGGTAAACTAGCGCTCGCATTAGGTGATCGGTGTATTCTAGGAGTTTATGATACACAGGATGCACGAGTTCCCGCATCGTTCCGCTCGTTATTTACTTATCTACACGGAGCAGGTTTTCAACCGAAACCAAGTCGCTTCTAGGCCATGCTCTCGACCACCATTTTTATTCCGTTCCTATTCTTGTAACCAATTGTCATTGCCTTCGGCGTATGTACAGTAAAACGCAATTCGCCGTGGTTACGTCGAGTAAGAAGAGTTCCTTTATAAAGCCGCAATGTAAAATCCCTAAAGCAAAGCGTCCTCGATCTCAGGTAAAAAAAAAACGATCGTCTTCAATATCAGCTTTGTTTATAATTCCACCTTCTTAGGTATCGTTGTCCGTCGTCCCTACACCGTTATTCGCATAATTTTTAAACTCTACTGTTCATTCGCGTTCTATATACACTGTATAAATAAAGGTAAGATACAATGGTAAATAAACATCCTGCATAATTTGTGGAAATATTCGTTGGTAAAAGTTTGTAATAAATACTTGAATAGTACCGGTAGTGTAAATAAACGACAGGCTGGCCTTTCTGTATGATCTAGTGGACATGTGTCATGATAGCGTTGGCAAAATTCGATATCAATTTTATGATATTTTGTGCGTGCGTCAAAATTGATATTAAATATACTGTAAACATTAACCGACGCAAATAATACAGATATAACGAACAGTTAATTTATTCGACGAATCAAATACAGTTACTCGATGAATCGAATACATAAACCCTGAATCGTATACCGAGACAAGCGCCAACAATTACGCACACGATGAAAACAATTCGAGTTCGCACAAACGAGGTACAAAAATATAGTAAAAATGGCGTGCATCGCCGATTTCTGTCTATTCGCGTAATCCATTCGCTTCCGTTCTGTTCCCTGTAGTCCTTTCTTTGGCCGTTCTAAATGAACTCGTAATCAACCGATGATCTAAAAATGCATGCGTGCTTCGCTATTGCGACTTCATAAAGGAACGCAGGAACGATTCATGCTTGTTGCCTCCCGTTAAAGCCGAGTTAACGAAAGGATGTAAATCGAGACCCAAGAGAACAGAAACAACGAGGGGAAACCTTTTTCCTTGCTTTTCTGTCTATCTCTCTTAAGAACTTAAGTCAATTAACGTTTACCTACTTCCTATATGTATACATGGTATGTACAGGGGCTACGTTAAAGCTAATATTAAGCGCACCTCTTCCGCGATACGCGTCTATATATACCCCTAGACGAAAAATAATAATTAATAAACTACTCGTGAACACGTAATCGCGATAAAATCCATCCGAGATTGCAAGGAAGAAGAATAATAAAATGGGGGGAAAAAAAAAAATATAAACTCGGAAGAGCTAAAAGAAAAACAATTGCAAAATGAAATGCTGCCTCTGCTAAATGCGCGGTCTTTCTCTAAAGAGCGGCACCAGCGAATCGCACCGTAATTGCGCAAGAATCGCCAAGGAACTGAAACTTCAACGAAAGCCACAAACTTTTTTTTTCTTCGAACGCAGTCGTAATAAAAAAAAATGAAGTGGAAGCATGAATAAGTCCGACGAAAGGGATATACTTAGCACCAAATTAAAATTCGTTTCGACGTTTGTGCACACCCTTTCTCGCGAGATTGGCGAGGCTTCGAGGTTTAAAAGGAACAGCAGTGGTAATAAATAAACGGGACAAACATTTGAGACAAGAATCGAGTCGATATCTCCGAGAAGTAAGCAATAAATATCGAAAGAAACTTAGATTCATCGCAAAGTCAGAATTCTTCCCCGGTAACATTTTCCCTCGAGTTCGCGACTCCGAGTAAAAATGATATTGATATGAAAAATGTCGATGACAGATTCATAACCGATGAAGAAAAGTGACTTTTCCAGGGACTTGCTCGAAAATATACAGCTCGATTAAAATTAAAATCCCCCGGTCTCTTCTGAAGGTACTTTCCACGCTCCCGCGGGAATACTCACGGAAGCGTTTATGCGAGTCTATGTCAACATAAATAGTAAATAATCTCGGCTAACCAATAACTAAATTTGATTGAACTGTAAAAATCTACGCCAACCCTGTCGACTCGATATTTACTATTTCCCATAACGATAACCCGATAACACGGAGTTCCCAATCCCCGTTGGTTTCTGTTCTCCGTTCACCTCCCTGAGCTCTGCTCCCCAATCTCGACGTCTTGGGAAACACGCAAGTATACATATCCATATATATATGTTTATATTTATATATATTAAACTAACGTCTTATTTTCTCTCTCGCACTAACTGCAAGTTCTATATACAGTGCACCGCTCTCCTTTCCTGGTTACCCTCGTGGGTCTGCAATTCGTATAAAGGACGCAATCGCGTTCTTGCCCTTGTTGCTGCTAATTCTACACATGATCTCTACCTCTGACGATTCTGCTAAGAGTGGTTTACCCTTTCTGGGAGAGGTTCATCCCCCTCCGGTGAATAAAGAAGAATCCATCGGGTAATTTCAGTGGTTCCTGACGCAGGAGGAACCTCTTCCAGATGGTCTGATGGAGTTTGCAGTGAATCGATGGCGAGCAGGTACAATTAGCAGCCTGAGCGTGTTAACGATCTAAGTTAATGCTTTCTCTACGACCCATCGAGCACACACGGTGGTATATCCCGATGGTTCAAGAGGTACTTTTAAAGGATTCGAGTCGTATATTGAATAGAATACCCATAAAACTGTTTTTGCTTGTTATTACTAGGACTATCACGGCATGCGAGCGCCTTAGGACGATCGAAGTTTACCGAAGTATGGCCAGGTATTTTAATGAATCACGTAAATATGTAGCCGTGCGTGCAGCATCAGTGAAATGCTATCGAGGCAAGACTGCAGTATTCCGTGCTTCATGGAAAGTCCGATAGATTTATGAAAATAACAGACGTTATATAAATTTGTTTTAAAACACTTGCAATGTATACGTGTGAATTTTGTGAATTAAAATCAAAAAGATCGTGATGGACCCTGGTTTGTACCGAAGGGAGGAAAAAGAAGTATAAAATGTCTAACCATTCAAGGGCAACGTGTTGTAAAATTATCTGCAATTAGATGAATAAATGTATTCCCTCTCCAAGGATATAACGCACCTTCCGGGCTCGTACTTGGGTATCGTATCATTGTATATTCGCTTGTACGTTAGGAATTCTCGTGTCATCATCGTCGTCGTCGTCAACGGTAAAAGCACAAGTTTTCGCAGGACGCAAATACGCCACAGTGCATTTAATAATAGATCAACACATTAGGGCAATCCAAGAACTCGAAACCGAACCATGAACCGATTGCTTCAAACCGAACCAAAGTGAGCGTAGGTCATGACATCTAGGATCAAGAGCCTCCCTTGTCTCCGGAAGGAAACAAGATGACGGTATAAATTGCAAAATCTGGTGTCTTCCCTGGATATGCGATCATTCACCTTTCCCGGGTCTTCATAATAACCAGAGAGTCGAAATACAGCGAGTGTTAACTAAGCGAATCGACTTGCACCAGACTACAAGGAAGGCTTTGATAACACTTACGACAGTCGGAAGATGAAATCTTCACGGATAACAGAATTTCCGAAAATACTAGCATCCGCGATTAAAGAAGTCCTCCCTTGCGGCCGAATAGTAGCGAACTAATGGTACCGAGTGCAGACTGCGTCGTTGTCTCTTTAGTGTCGGGAGTGGAGACAGCAGACTTGACCTGTCCCAAGTCCGGCCTCGTGGCCCCAGCTCCCGATCGTCGTTGACGAGCAGCCAATCTAGAGCTGAGGGCCCCCGAGCCAGGGCGACTCGGTACTCCAAGATCCGAGTCTCTGCCCTCGGCCTTCTGTTTACCAGGCGGCAAGGGAGGCTTCGACGAGGACGTCTCGCTGACCGAGGACGATGACGACGGGGAAACGAGCTTTTCCTGACTAATACTGGACGATATCGAGGTCTTGAGGAAGGTCAACTGAGTCATCGGGCTGTCCGTGGACCGCCTGGTGTAGAGGGCACCCTGAAGAGCCAGAGGAGACATAGACGAGCTCGACGTGGTGGCCATGATGGTGTCGATGCCGATTCTCTCCAGCTTCTCTACTAGCCTGATGCCGGTCAGAGCTTTCTTGTCGGACCGCGACAACGCCGGCTTCGTGCGCTTGCGTTTCTGCACCGGCGCCTCGCTACCGAAAGTGCGCTTCAGAAGCTCGGCCCCGCTGCTGAACAGACTCAGAGATAAGGGACTGCCTCCCGAGTCGCGGTCTCGAGGTGGAGAGGTCGACCTCGACGGCGTTGGACTGCCATCGGGACTGTTACAAGGTGTGGCCGTGGGGGTGAAGTTGCGCTCGCCGGTCGGCGTAGCCACGCAAGACGGTGTCACGGCCTTGATGCCCCTTTCGTTCAGCATTTTGGCAAGGCCCAAAGTGGTCGAAAAGGTGGAGGTGGAGTTGCGTCGACTCAAGGTTCGAGGGGTGTTCATTCCGGAGTTGAGCTGACTGCTCGGAGCCGACGCGACTCTGCTGCCGCTGACGCTGGGAGTTATCAAGGTGTGGTCGTCGGGGTGCATGACCGTGCTGTTTGTGTACGTGTAGACCGAGCCAGTGTCTTGGAAGAGCTTCCCCGGGTTCGCGTACTCCTCGTCCTCTTCCAGGTCTGCTAAGGTGAAGGTCTCCAAACCTAGGTCTTCCAGCCCACGACCTCCGCGAGTCTTCACTCCCGGTCTTTCCTCCAGAAGCCCCCCTAAGGTTGGAGTGGCCAACTGCGACCAGTGATGCAGCGTTTGGGAGCCTTCCATGGGCTTGATGATTTGCAGCTTCTCGGGTATTCGCCAACCGTTGCTGCCGCTGTTGGCGCTGAATCCGCTCAGGTTGCCGCTGCTGCCGGTCGACATGATGCTGTCGGGAGTGCGACAGCCGAATGGAAGGAACGTTGGAGGGGTTTGGATGCCGGTGTCGTAGTCAAAATTATACCCTGCTCCCGTACTGAGACACGCGCGACGAGCTATCACTTCTGCTGGCGTTAACCGACGCAATGCTGCTTCCAGGTCAGCTGCTCCGGGCGCTCCAGGTACTCCAGTTTGCTGAGGTCCACTAAATCAGGAAAATGAGAAATACCACATTAAACTCGGATTAATGAATTACAGGAGGTCTAGATTCATTTTAGAAGGTACGCATCGTTAATAACCGATATAATGTTTCAAAGCTTCCAAAGGACATCGTCATGAATTTATTTTGATAGGAAGACTTATCCGAATATTACGAAATTACGCTAATATAATTATTAACTTACGGATATTCCTCTCCATCAGTCAAAAGGGAACCTTCGCTATCGCTATGACCCGTGGAATCCAGACTGGGGAACCCAGAGGATGCTCGAGGTCGCAGTGGTCCGCAACTCATGCGTGGTCCAGCTGATCCGCCCGACAAGGTCGACGTTGTCATCATGCCTAAACGCGGGAACTGATTCGCATCCGCAGTACCTGCATACGACGTTCTAGAAGCACTGCGTACCGTCTCGAAGACTTTCTTATATGTTGGTCTGAGAGAGAAAAAGGTTGGTTACGTAAAATTCCAAACGCTAATTAAGATCAATCAAACAACTCAATGTAAGAAATAGCATTTTCTGTCCAGGGAGGAAGTAGCGTATTAATTGGATACATGAATTAGCGACTCACGTTCTGTCGGTACTAATACCAGAATCCAAACTGAGCTCGGAATAGAGTGACGATTCCAACTCGGAGGCAATGGAATCGGGTTGTGCAACTGTGCTCAACGAAGGGAACAAAGTTCCTCCACGCACAATCGGCAACCCTCTCTTCCTCTGAGTCCTCAGCTGCTCCTGCGTTTCCGCCAGCAAGGCAACAACCTACAAAACAGAATATCGATGTAAAAGCCGAACCAATCCGAACTCCGAGCAGCAAACCGCAAGCCAATTTAGAAAACGTTCTTTACCTCGGCATACCGATCCTTGAATTCCGCTAACTCGGTGGCAAGAGTGTTTTGGTTATCCCTGGTAATGACTAGAGTCGCTCCTACTTCGTCATGTTCCGCCATCAGTTGTGCCAACCTCAGCTCCGTCTCGGCCAATTTAGCAGTCAGGCTGACAATCTGTTCGTGCTGCAACCGATTCTCCTCCTTCTGGCGCCCAAGCTCTTCCGCTATCCCGTCCACCTCCATATTGGCATTCGCTGTAAAAGTTTAACAATTGCATACTTTAAATACAGTCCTCGGTAAAACACATCTACGTCAACTGTAAATCATGTATGTACAAATCAGGAAAAATATACAATATCCCACGTATAACATTTATGGACATGAACTAATTAGAGTCCCATTACACTTAAACTTCCGATTCATTCTAAATCAAAATTTCAGCAAAAATGTCTTAAGATCTTTACACATATCTCGCATAAAGTAACTATAAACACCGCCACAAAAGTTAAATTCCGATACGCATACTCAAGAACACAGGACAGTAAACAAAAAAAGCAGCACTACAGGATAGATACTCGAGTTAAAACTTGACGATATCAACGATTTATTACAAACAAAACACCGTCTCACGTACACAACAGTTTGCATAACCACGAAAATTCCAAGTTGATGGAACTTTTCGTCCACTTATGGATTTTAAAATGGCGCCTTATGTTCCATAATTTGAACGATACTTCTATGCTGTGCTTAAGAGGATATGAAAGGCACTAAGAAATTTAAATAACGTCGATAAAGTAAAATACACCTATACCCTTTTTGATGGTAACGTCATTCCTAATACTCAAGTGGTAACATAAGCTGTCGCGTCTCATTACCGATATTTATATTTATGTTGGTCTTTTATAGTCTACTTTGAGAATTATATGAAATGAAGCGTTCCATATGTCATTTCGGTAAAGTAATGGTGACGAGATCAACGTAAAACTGTCTAAATCCCGTGAATTAATTATTCTAACGACTGTTTTAGGACCAATGTCGCCATGTGGGACGTTTAGCTGCAACTAAATTTTTTCTCTAAAAACACGTGTTAGCCGCAGGGTAAGCCCTCGCAATCGTTGGTGAAAGTATTTACCACATTTTCCCATCTGACTCTGTAATATTCCATTTCTACGGTATTCTAAATTGTTCGAGCTAGGTCCTGAAACTCTTCATTTTTGATTCTAAGCCACCAACAAGCGTAACACATCGAAAACGTACCCGGACCACGCCATGTTGGTTCTAGTCCATGATAAGTAAATAAATTTTTGATGAAAAATGAAACTTCATGAGTTTCAGGACCTACTTTAAGGCCTTCATATCCACGTGGTAAAATTTGAAACGAATCGGTACACCCAATTCGGAGAATACTTTCCCCAACAATTTGACTTCTCAGATATACATGATGACTCTTTTATATCACATTAATGCCATATTTATGGGTACTATTTATACAAGGTACGCATAAAGGCATTTACGGTATCTTCTCTGCAATGCTCGTAATAACTGTTCATTAAACGACTAATACTCTCGCGTTTAAAAGCCGAATTTACCGAGTTGAGCAGCGATGTCCTTCACGAGGCGGGCCTCCTGTTCCTCGCAATCGTCGGCGTCATGTACCAGCTTGCTAAATTCAGTCCTCAGCTGTTTGTTCTCATCCTCGAGGGAGCTGATCCTCCTCTGCATCATGTCCAGGTTGATGCCTCGCATCCCGGTGGGCGTTCCACCCTCCGAGCCGGACTCGTCGACATCGTTGGTGAGCACCTGGATAAGCTCGGTCTTCTTGATCAGTTCGTGGCTAAGCTGAGTGATCTTCTCGTTGGCGGACTTCAGCTCGGTCTCTAAAGCGCTCACATTCGTCTCGAGCTTCTGATTGTGCGACAGCAACTCCTTGCCGATGCGCGCCGTCAGTTCCAAGTCTTTCTCCTTCTGCAAGTGCGTAATCGAAGGTTACAAAATGATGTCATGACAATATGCGGAAGATCGCGGTCAACAATAAAACAGAAGGCGCATAGGTAATTAAATGGATTTTGATATTAACACGTTGATTGCCACGGTGGTCACCGGTGACCGGCAACCGCCTTGCGATAGTGCACTCGTCATTTGTTTTGGCAGTCAACGTGTTAATAATCGATTCCTGTTCCGTTAAAGTAATGTATAAATTAAGAGAGTACACAGCTAAAAGTCAAACCTAACAGGGAATTATTTAATTGCATAATTGTAAAACACGTTAAATGAGACGAAATTTTAATTACAATGATTTAAGATACTTGCATTGCGAATGTATGCAAGACGTTATTTAAATACGTTTAGAAAAGTACCTGCTTATTGGTAATTAGTAAAATATTCTTACCTCCTCCAGAAGCCTTGTCACTGCTTCTATATCATTATAGGTTTTGGTCATTTGGCTCACCCGGTTGCTACATAGAACTGTAACAAAAATTGAGATTTTTATCGTTAAATGGTTGGTACGCAGGTCCCTGCAGACAGTGCAAATAAACTTTAAAAACTTAGACATTTTCGAACAAACTATCTATTTAGGTGAGACAGCAATGGTGAGTTGCGTGACGGTATTACAGACACGCAGAGGCTGGACGTAAGATTTATAACTTAGCACACATATCGAAATGTAATGTATCTTAAAAAGCACGCAACGTTGAAAAATTCATTGTTCATTTTGCGCAGAATGTGAGTACTTAGTACTTAATAACTGGTACCTCTACAAAATACAACATGATCGTTAAATGAATATCTGAAGCAAATTATTTTGCAAATAAGCTTGAACCTCGTTAGCGAAATAAAAATACCACTTTCACATTTTTAAATAAAACGTCGATTAAATAAAAGATAACTGCCTTGGCATAAGTGCTTAAGACATACGTAACATTGCTATTACCTGGTGACAAGGACTTTGATGAAAGTTTTTCATAGTTTGTTGCCCTCTCTTGGGGTAACAAGAGCCCTAAAGTTCGCGACAACATTTAAACGAATTCGTTGATGATCCACCTTTTTGTCATTACTGTATCGTTAACGATCAATCAAGATCATTGTCACAACTACTGCTTATCACTTCAACAGTTCCATTGAAACGATTTATCGTCGCGTACAAATTATTTTATACAGTCTAAATCTAGCATTACTCGATACAAACTTCATTACAATGTATTAGCTGATAAAACTAAAACCGAATAATTTAACGAAACTAAGTGTGTTCATAAAATATAAGATGAACGAAACTATATTCTTTTTTTGTCCACTAATTCTAGTCTTCGCACTTCCAGATGGCTTGAATTTAAAAGTTTAATTAACCTCAACTAATTTAAACAATTCTTGAAGCCATGGGGTTAAATTTCAACAGCAATCGATGTTTCATTTTCCATTCTCGATATGATCGTTCTATCACTCGAAGGAAAATGAATTTCCGAAATAACGTTTTTATTCATTAACTTCGCCAACAAACTCGTAATGTTCTTCACCTGCACTTCAAGTTCACATTCGACATCGTATCATCGCGTAAAAAAATACTTCCTCCAGAATCTTTACCCCCCAAAATTAATTCGACCTTCCAATATCCTGTCTACCTACAAAAATATAACAATTTCAAAGAATTAATAAGTCCTTTTAAAATGAAATATAAAAATTAAATCTGTCTCACAACACCATAGTACTCCTCGCCTTCACTTTACCGAACTTCGAAACGAAGTCAGGTTACTTCTTATCAAGAAACTCGGCAGAGTTTCGCGTCAAATATATAAATTATTTTTATAAAACTCCTCGACGTTTCAATTTCCAGATCTTAAACCTCGTTATTAGAGTCCGGATATTAATCAACAAGTACGCGATCTCAAAATGGCTCCACCAGTACCACCCGCCGCCCAAAGCACATGCGATTGTTTTCCCTCGGGGCCGCGAAAAACGCGTCGCGATGTTCTCCAAATTTTGCGAATTCGAGCCCGTCTTGAAACAGTTCACACGGTACACTCGGCCTCGACTTTTGAAGGCTTGAAAAGGAAGGCAGGAAAATTCCATTCGAGGTAAACGAGAGAGAAATGAAACCGGGTGGCGACTCGCTCCGAGTACGGGAATTCACTTGCATCCCTATCGATCGGTCTGGCCTTGCAGTTCCCACCTTTCGGGGGCAGCAAGACGGAGAGGGGCGCAGCCGCGTCTCCCCGGTGGTATAAAAAGACATAACACGTAATGCGTAGTAACGTCGAAAGAGACGGCATCCAATAAGAAACTTTACTCGCGTAGAATAAAAATGCACCTCGCTGAAAACGGTGGATTTGAAGGGATATCAATTTCAGATCAACCTCCTATAAAATGGTCCACCGAGTCTACATTTGCTCACCTTTATTACGCTAAAAAAAATCTAATCATATCTATAAAGTACGCATGTAATCTTAACAAAAATGGCGTTAACGCAGACTTCAAATTGAGTGCATTCATTTATTTACGGTAAGCTCTTCCCAAGGCTCGAACTGCAAATATTTCGCGATGAAAACTCGTGAAGAAGAAATCAAAAACTATTTACATTTCCTCCACTTAATTGATTAAATAAGTACTTCTGACGGAAGATCGAGACTATTCGCTCTTTCCCTGTTCCGTTATTTTTGAGAATTAATAATAATTTGAGAGGAATTAAAATTTCCTACACCTGTGCACTTTTCATTTTGGTTCTGCTTCTCGGCAATGATTACAGAGAATCGCCGATAATTTCACCATCGGTGCAAGGAACCGGACTTCGATCAGTCGAGCACGTCGATTCGAGGAAGAGGCGTATCGCCACATAAAGTGCATACAAAATGAAGTTACGTGCGGGAGAAGTGCACGTAACAATTTTCTGTGCACCGGCACCGCCATGCTGCCTCGCTCGCGGCGGGAAATAAAAAGGAAGAGGGGGTTTTAAAAAAATGTATATATAAATAAAAAGGAATTGCCGCATCGCTAGGCAGCCCACGTAAACCACAGGAATTTCAGACCGAGCCGAGCAGCTCTGTAAACTCGCTCGAGCCTTTTAAATCCGACTCAAGGGGATGAAATTGTACGCGTTCTCACGGTAACGTTAAACGTCCTCTTGCGCAGGTTGCATATTTATTTTTTATCCCTTTATTCCTCACTCCGCATTCAAGCAAATACTTCAACGGAGAACCGACGCAACTCGAAAAGTTGAAGAATCGCGGGTTAAAAGTATTTCCTTGAATTATCATTTCAGTTCATTCTACCAAAATGAATACGATTGCCCTCGATTTTATCTCGAATAGATGCTAAGTAATCCAGAGATCAATCGATCGTTTTTTTACGTTCGTTTGGAAAATCGGCAATGAATATTCATTTAACAATTTTCGTCAAATTAGAAGCGCAGGGTGCTATTCACAAAGCGCATCTCCAAGCTCAAACACGGCAACGAAACGAAGCTCGGCGCTTAATTTCAATTCGACCTGTAAAACTAAAATAAACGAAACAAGGTAAAGCACATCCACAGCAAAATCAGGTGCGTAAAGCTGGCACCCCCACCTTTACAAAATTCAAATTTCTTTGTCTTAATATTTTGTGCTCTTTATGCGCTAATTATGTGCTACATTCGCAAATTTTGTGCTAGCTCGGTTTTTGGAAAAAAATTCAATTTTTCTGTGGGGGTGCTGGGTACTAATAAAGCTAGCACCCCCACCATTAAAAAATGTGTTTAAATAATCAAAAATAGGTGAAAACTTATCAGCTAATTATGTGCTCTCCGAAAATCATATTCATAAATTAAAATTTTCACCCTTAAGTTTGAAAACCCACCCCCATTCAAAAATCCACAAGAGGTAAGTACCCGATGGCATGGAAAATTTGAAACTTTATATACTTAAATTACTCCTAGAATTATGTGCTATTCGAATATCATAGCGCCGAATTTTGTGCTCAAACCCCAAGGTCCCAAACCCACCCCCATCAAAAAATCCACAAGAGGTAAGTATCCGATGGCGTGGAGTAATTTAAGCGTAAATTGTTTGAAATTTTTCCGCGCCATCGGGTACTTACCTCTTGTGGATTTTTGAATGGGGGTGGGTTTGGGACCTTGGGGTTTGAGCACAAAATTCGGCGCTATGATATTCTGATAGCACATAATTCTGGGAGTAATTTAAGTATATATAGTTTCAAATTTTCCATGCCATCGGGTAGTTACCCTTTGTGGAATTTTTTATGGGGGTGGGTTTGGGACCTTGGGGGTTGAGCACAAAATTCGGCGCTATGATATTCGGATAGCACATAATTCTGGGAGTAATTTAAGTATATAAAGTTTCAATTTTCTCCACGCCATCGGGTAGTTACCTCTTGTGGAATTTTTGATGGGGGTGGGTTTGGGACCTTGGGGGTTGAGCACAAAATTCGACGCTACGATATTCGGAAAGCACATAATTCTGGGAGTAATTTAAGTATATAAAGTTTCAATTTTCTCCACGCCATCGGGTAGTTACCTCTTGTGGAATTTTGGATGGGGGTGGGTTTGGGACCTTGGGGGTTGAGCACAAAATTCGACGCAACGATATTCGGAAAGCACATAATTCTGGGAGTAATTTAAGTATGTAAAGTTTCAATTTTCTCCACGCCATCGGGTAGTTACCTCTTGTGGAATTTTTGATGGGGGTGGGTTTGGGACCTTGGGGGTTGAGCACAAAATTCGACGCAACGATATTCGGTAAGCACATAATTCTGGGAGTAATTTAAGTATGTAATGTTTCAATTTTCTCCACGCCATCGGGTAGTTACCTCTTGTGGACTTTTTGATGGGGGTGGGTTTTCAAACTCAAGGGTGGAAATTTTAATTCATGAATATGATTTTCGGAGAGCACATAATTTGCTGATAAGTTTTCACCTATTTTTGATTATTTAAACACATTTTTTAATGGTGGGGGTGCTAGCTTTATTAATACCCAGCACCCCCACAGAAAAATTGAATTTTTTTCCAAAAACCGAGCTAGCACAAAATTTGCAAATGTAGCATATAATTAGCACATAAAGAGCACAAAATATTAAGACAAAGAAATTTGAATTTTGTTAAGGTGGGGGTGCCAGCTTTACGCACCTAGCAAAATCCCTATTTTGATAGTGTGCCTCAAAGAACAATAGAGCTTATGGAAATGGAGAAAACAAAGTAAGAGTGGGGGTGTCTGAAAAAAGTTAAACATAGAGATATCTCCTGTCTCTAAACTTCTCCGAAGTTTTTCCTCCGCAAGTGTAGACTATATTGGAGCACTTTATTATAAAGGAGCGATACTTCGAAATAATTAAATTTCCCATTAAGAAAAAAAAGACAACTTCTTCTTACGTTTATTATGATTCACATTAAATTTCGGATATCAAAAGCGTAGGGTATTTTCGGAAAAGTGGAGACTGCAATTCTCTCTGTTTAAAGGTGACACTCGCGTAATGATAAATCGTGG